CTGCTCTCAGGCAGATGAGGTGTATCCACAGGAAATGCAGCACCAACAGCTGCACCCACCGAGACAGAACACTGCCACCAACCTGCCTTCTGTACATAACTCCAAATGCTGACTCCCTTCATCTGCCTTCCAACCACCTCAGAGAACAGATCCTTATTGTCTGCATATCTCTATGGTCGGTCCTTTTCTCAGCTCCAACATAGCTGCATCACTGTGCAAATGCCCTTATCACAGCAGAGCCAAGCAAGGCTAGACTCCTCCCTCATCTCACACCACTACAGCTGGGTTCCAGACAGGACCATAAAGCATGCGGAACACCCACTGCATCAAGGGAGCCCCTCCCTCTTCTCCTGTCTCAGGTCTCAAACCTGAGCACACATGCCCCACTCTCAACCAAGGCAACATTTGGACTCCCTAACGAGCATCCTCTAAGATCCCACAAAGAGCATGCCCACTCCAGTGCCTCCATGGGCCTCTCGGGAGGCAGGCGCACTCCTACCCAGGCCAGAGCCCAACTCACTTGTTGCACATCAGCAGCACCTCCAGCTCCTTGACGTTGTGGACCAGAAACTTCCGGAAGCCACTAGGCAGCATGTGCTTGGTTTTCTTGTTGCTCCCATAACCAATGTTGGGCATCAGGATCTGGCCCTTGAATCTTCTCCGTACCCTGTTATCAATACCCCTGGGTTTCCGCCAGTTTCGCTGAAGACACACAGGCAAGTTAGTCTCTGCGAACTGCCAGCTCTTACTTGGCAGAAGGGGGCTAAATTCAAAGGGGACATGCCATACAGAGGGCACACTTGGTAACATTGCCTTCCTACTACTTCTTTATACACTTTAACATGCATGGGGTCTCTGTGTAGCCTGGCTGTCCTGGAACTCGCTCTTTAAACCAGGCTGGACTTGAACACAGAGATCCACCTGCCTCTGCTTCCTCGGTGCTGGGATTAAAGGCGTGCGCTTCTTTACACACTTTTAACAAAAAACCCCAAAAGCTCCCAAGGCCGTGACTCAGCCAAACTGCCAACAAAACCAAACCTTCCTATACCTGTCACACTCAGACACACACGGGCCAAGATAGGACAGGGCTGTGTGCAGTACAATGACTGCACACTCGTCTAAAGACCCAAGGCTGAGGGTGTGACTCAGTTGGTACAACTTTGTCTGGCATGCATGAAGCCCTGTTCTCCACCCCTAGCACTCAGACCGGAATTCAGCAGAGCTTTCCATTTGTGATTGTTTCAGAGAAAAGAAAAAAAAAAGGCGGGGCCCTGCCTAAGACAGGCATCAGGTAAGCGTCGGCTGTGTGAGCCCATCCAGCCAGCAACTGGTGACCCCTGGGCCCAGTGAGATGTCCTGCCTCATAAAATAAGATAGATATGGGGCTGGAGAGATGGCTCAGCAATTAAGAGCACTGGCTGACCTTCCAGGGGACCCAGGTTCAATTCCCAGCACCCACATGGCAGTTCATAACTGCCTGCAACTCCAGTTCCAGAGGACCTGACACCCTGACATAGGCACACATGAGGAAAAAGAACAATGCAATTAAAAGGTTTACAAGAAAAAAAAGCACACTGATTGCTCTTCCAGAGGTCCTGGGTTCAATTCCCAGCACTCCCATCTGATATGCAGACAAACACCCATTCGCATAAAATATATACATAGACAAATATATCTTAAAAAAAAAAAAAGTCAGGTGCAGAGATGGTTCAGAAGAAGTGCCTGCTGCCAAGCTGACAACCCAATTCCGATCACATGGACCCACATGATGGGGAGAAAATCCCCGGACCGTCACACACAGGAAAAATGTCATTTTAAAAGCAACTTCAATCAATGGACTGCCCTGAACAGGCGACACCAGAAATGCGTGCTTAAAACTTAACCTCCGCACTCTTTTCCCCCCAGGAACGCACACATACCTTAATCTTGACATATCGGTCTGACTGGTGCCGGATGAACTTCTTGGTCCTCTTTTTGACGATCTTGGGCTTCACCAGAGGCCGGAGGGCAGCCATGATGCCTATAAGAAGAGGCAGATCCACGTTATCGAAGAACCAGGGAGGGACAGCTGCTTGTCCAAGGCCTGAGTGATGTTGCAGAGTGTCTTCCAATCACCAGCTACTGAGCCAACTGGGAATGGAATGGGTACCTCTGCTAGGCTTGTTCTCCCTCCTGTTTCCGAAGCTGGCAGAATACTAGTCACTCTCCAGACGCGATCTCAAGAGGTCGGGGTCACCACAGCCATTTTGACCTCAATGAATGGCAGCAGCTGACCTATCACCTGCAGCAAACCACTCTGGTGGGCAAGGGGCAGCAAATCCCACCCCACTAAAGCTCCACAACCAAGCGGTCGTTAAGCTAGACCACCCTTCCTACACACCACCAGTGTGTCCCTCCCGGATCGCCTCGGGGCGCCAACAGAAAGGTTCCTTCTCTGTTCCCTCCACAGCCTGCTTTGTCGGGCACGTACTAAATACCCAGCGAAAACACGCTCAGCCGTCATCTCTGCTCCCTGGCACGTCGGAGGCCGAAGAGCGGCGGGGAAACGGCGTGCGGCACCCCAAGTCCACCGACCGCATGGCGCAAACCGGCCCCGGCTGCTGCCTGGCCCTAGGCGGACTCCGTAGCAGCGCGAGCGGCCAGTAGGCCCGGCCCGTGCACGCTCGCCTCTGCGGCGCCAGCGCCGAGTCCGACGCCGAGGCTGCCCCACCTAGCGATGCTAAGGCCTCTCCTCCCGCCGACCGGGCCGTGCCGAGTCCACAGACGGGCGGATGGCCGGCGATGCACACTCACCGCAAAGGAGATGGCAGCCACCTCGCAGGTAGCGCCGAGGAAGAAGGAAGAGGCGGTGACACGCAAGGGGTGATGGGAAGGAGCCTCAGGTCCTGGAAGGAAAAAGTGAGGCACTTCCGGCTCTGGGTTCGCCAAGGGACCCTAAGATGTCTCTCAGAAGTAATGCTGGACAAAGCAAACCAATGTACTAGAGTTCTGTAGTAGACATTAACATCTTGGAATGAACTAAAAATGTACCTTTCTCTTGGGACTACTTAAGAAATTTGGAATTCTTTCTGAGATAAGACCTGCGTGGTGAGCACCTACTTCCGCCCGAAGTGGCAGCTCACTCGGTTTTTAATATGTTTACTTTGGAGTGCGCCTCTTAGTGGCTAGGAGGTCGCAAGCAGATACTTCTTTGACGGGTTCCCCAGGGGCTGGTTGAGCAACCTAAGACCTCAGAATATATAAATGCTCAAACCTCTGGACTGTGAAGTGCTACGGAGCCTGCCCGCATCTTTCATATGTTTTAAATTATCTCTCATTATAGTACGTACCTAGGGAAATGTATTAATAAGTGCTAGATTGATATATTGCTTAGGAAATAATGACAAGAGAAGCACCTGGGAGGCAGAGGCAGGCCGATCTCTTTTAATTCAACACCTTGGGAGTTCCAGGCCAGCCAGAGGTACATAGTCTCACACACACACACACACACACACACACACACACACACACACACACACACAGAGTCTGTGTACTTAATACAGATGCGGTTTTACTTTCAACTATTCTCATTCTTCAGTTGGTTGAACTGTGAAGGCACCTGAGGGACTTCGGCTATGGAGGGCCAACTTTACATTTAAAATGAAGCTGTGATAGCTAGCCCTCCACGGCAGCGTATGTCCTTGCCACGGCTGTACGCGGAGACTCCGGTCTTTCCTTCGTTTGTTATGCACGAGAAGTGATTCTGGGAGACGCCACTCCAAGATCCATGCCTCCAACCATTCAGCTGCCTTGCTTTAAAATTGTTCCTGGTCTATTTTGCTTAGTTTTTGTTTTTCAGATCACTGTGAAAAATCTAATTTTAGGAGGATAAAAAACCAAATCAAGGGCTGGAGAGATGGCTCAGTGGTTAAGAGCACTGGCTGCTCTTGCAGAGGACACTGGTTCAGTTCCCAGTGCCTACATGTTGCCTCATAAACGTGTAACTCCAATCCCAGGGGATCTAGTGCCCTCTTCTGTAAGAACTACATGCATGTGCACATACACATACGTACAGGCAAAACACTCAAGTACATAGAATAAATGTTTCTCTGTATAGCCCTGGCTGTCCTGGAACTCACTCTGTAGACCAGGCTGACCTTGAACTCAGAGATCTGCCTGCCTCTGCCTCCAGAGTGCTGGGATTAAAGGCGTGCGCCACCACCACCCGTCAAGAATAAATCTTTTTTTAAAAAGTTAAAACAACCTTGATTGTACAACAGAACAGATGTCACTGGTGATCTTGACTGGAGATGGGAACAGATGCTAGAGTGGATGTTTGGCCCCGACAGAAAGTCGGGATGAGAGCGGGAATGCTGACTACTCACTCCGAGGTGCTGCCTGGAAAGGAGAGCAGAGACTCAGAGAAGTAAAGTATCTTTACTTCTGAGACAGCCAGCTAGCAAGAAGCTGGGTGGGACTGGAGCTCTCCTGTGCCGGTGTCTCGCCTGCCCTTTCCAAGAGCTGCTTATCCTACAGGCTGCTAAAGTCAGTGGCTCTTGGAACATGGAAGTGCATAGCTGATGGCAGCTTACAGAATACATTTCACAAAGTGGAGAGTCTAGCGAGTGAATCCTAGGGAAGGCCCATGAGCCAGAGTATGGCTCTGATTTCTGAAGACGCACAGGGTTTGGGGGACTCAATCTCATGGGGAGGTGAGAGCTGCTGCTGCCTCATTTTACGGAGGACACTCCGTCTGTTGCACCCCTGTGGGCACTAATGTCCCAGGATGAGAGGTGGGAGGTGTCCTGGGGAGTCTGTGTCTCGCATACACCTTCAAGTTTCCCAGCCCTGTAGTTGGAAATCAGTTCAGCTAGGCTACAGGTCAGCTCTAACCTGGTTTATTTCAGAAGGGCAGAGGTCATGACAGGGTAGACACACCCACACTCCCAGGCACTGGACACTGGCATCAGGGGACACAGCTCCAGGCCGTCCCTGGGAATGTTTCTTTTGTATGGCTCTTTGATCTCTCATGTCTGCAGCTGTGGGCCCCTAGCTGCCCGTCTTCTGGCTCAGCAGCCCTCAGGCCACTCTAGTTGATGGAGTACACCTTGTTTGCATCGTAATTAGCATGGGTCATATAAGCCCAGTCCTTCATGGGCCACCAATCTTTAGAGTGGTACTTGGCCGGGTAAGCATGGCGCGTACGTTCCACACAGCTGAAGATTGCCTGGCTCTGGTCCCTGGCCACAGTGGGCAGGTAGAGCCGCAGCTTGTCTACAAGGTGACCAGGCCAGAAGTAATTGGGGTGGGTGTATGAGGGACCACTGATGCTCTTGTCCTTCAGCTTCCTGGAAAAGGAAGACACAGGGAAGGTTGCTGTGACAGGGAGACAAGGCAGGGCTCCTTCTCAGCAGATCACATGGGCTGTGAGCATCCTCTGCAGTGTGGAAAGCACTGCACACCTCAGTCTCCTCACAGTGAGGACCCAGATGTCTGGAGGTCAAGGTCACACATCCAGTGAGTGGCTAAGTTCAGGCCCCAGTCATTGCTTCTTAAATCCAAACTTAATGTGCGCGGTTCTTGCGCTAGATCAGTGGTTCTCAACCTTCCTAAGGATGCGACCCTTTAATACAGTTCCTCATCTTGTGGTGACCCCCCCCCAACCATTAAATTATTTTTGTTGCTACTTTGTAACTAAAATTTTGCTACTGTTATGAATCATAATGTAAGCATCTGTGTTTTCCTATGTTCTTAGGTGACCCCTGTGAAAGAGTCGTTCGATCCTCTAAGGGGTCACAGCCCACAGTTGAGAACCACTGTTCTAGAGGATTTGCCCCTCCCCCATCCCTCCACCTCACCTGTCCCGTGCAGTGCTGGGCATAAAACCCAGGGCCTCATATGCTTTGGTACCCAGCAGCTAAGCTACACCCAGCCCCAGCCAGAAGCATTTGGATATCATGTCTGAAATCTAGCCTCAGGAAGCAGCCTCGCTGGGTTCAGCTTTACATGTGGGACATCCAGAGCAACTCAGGCTTGTTGATGACAACATAGATGAGTCCACTCATAGGAGGCCCCAGCGCAGCCCTGCCTGACAGCCCACAACAGTCCTAGGATCTCGTCCCGTGTGCACAGGTCTCATGGCTGCCTCTGGTGGGAGGGGAGGCCAGCCCTCTCCTCTTCACCCCTGCCCTCCTAGCAGACACACAGGACCACTACAAACCCCGTAAATTCCTCGAACTCCTCGAAGTGCATTTTCTTGAGTTTCTTTGATGTTTTCCTAGTGGGGAATAGAGAGAGGCATTATTAGGAGAGAGAAACTCCAGGAGCTGGGCAGTGGTGGCACAGACACCTTTAATCCCAGCACTTGGGAGGAAGAGGCAGACGGATCTCTGAGTTCGAGGCCAGCCTGGTCTACAGAGTGAGTTCCAGGACAGTCAGAGCTACACAAAAAAAAACTCTGTCTTGAAACAAAAAACAAAAAAAAAAGAAACTCCAGGAATAGTCAGCTTTGGGGAGCAGATGGGGGCCAATAAGGCGTGCGTTTCTAAGTCTCAGACCAGAGCGCTGAACTTCTTTGTTTTCTGGTGAGGCCCTAGCCATGTCTCCATACACCAAGGCATTGGGCTTAGCCAGGTTGGTGGAGGGTGGAAAACCTTGACTTCTTCATCTGTGGGAGGGAGGCCTCCAAAATAGCTGATATGTTCAGCAACTGGTAGACGCTAAAGCCCAACTCCCACTCCCCTTTCCAGAGACCAAGCTTAGTGAGACAAGCGTGGTAAAGACTCACCCTCCATACCTTTCCCAGCATGCATCACTAACTGATCACCGATTCCTTCCCAAGCCCACATCTGGCTCAGAATCTCTGGGTTTTTTTTTCTTCCGTTGCAAAGGATTGAACTCTGTTCCTTGTATACTCTCTACCCCTAGTGCCTGACCTTGGGATCTTTTACAGTCTGCTCCCTAGTGGTGAGAGAGAGCCAATGTCTCTCCTTTAGCGAGGGATCACTCTCACTTATATCTGTGGCTGGCCAAATACAACCAAAAATCTCTTTCCTGGGTAGCCACGCACTTCCTGGATTCATGGCTTAGAAATTGGTGACAGTCAGCCACAGGCTAGAAGGGACACCTCAGAGGCTCTCGAAGCTACTGCCAGCCTGGGTCACGCTCAGCACTTTGCAGGCCACAACTGTCGTGGGCAGACTGCCCCAGTACTCAGAAAACCACTAGAAGTGCAGCGTGACTCATCAGCTGCCCTGTGGCCCTTGTCTGACCCTCGAGGTGTGAGATAGTCTGCATCCACTTTGTACGTGGAGACGCTAGGGCTCAGGGCGCAGTAACCTGGCTATTGACTGGAAGTCTGCCCCAGGCATTCTGCCACAACACCCCATCCCTCTGCAGGGTGCCATCTCATTCTCCCCTCTGCAGGCACCCAACTGATGTTAGCCACAGTAGTTGCCCCCTGCTTAGTCCACATGTGATGGGAGCGGAGGGGGACCTGACTTGGGCTCACTTCAAAGGAAGTTAATTTCAGAGAACTCAGGCTAGTCTAAGGGTCAGGGCAGCCTTTCTTCCCCCCGGGGCTACCAGCCTATCTCTTGTTGGAGTGTGCCTGCCACAGGGTTGCAGCGCAGGGAAGGAATTAGTTTCAGCTGCCACCGGGTAGGCTGAACACCCCCTTTTGGTCTTTCCCACTGACCTTATGAGTGTATAAGCCTGTGGTCAGGAGGGTAGCCTGCAGTCCTAAGACATGCACTAAGGGTGACATTTGGGACTGGTGAGTCAGAAGTGACTAGAGAGGGGCACAGACATTGGCACTACATGACACCACATGCGTGCCCGTGTCCTAGTCCCTGCCGCTGAAGGGACAGCCTGAGACTCAGCTTGTCTGTCTTCTTCGCCCCGAGCTTGTGGAGGCCCCGGGTCCCAAATCCAGCTAGGCTGTGGACAATCCTCTCGTCTATATAGTAGCCTCCAGGCTGCCGGATCGGGCGGACTTCTTCTTTCAGAGTAATTATCTTGTCTCCAGGATACAGTAGCGCTGTGGGCAACAAGGAAGACAGCAGGCCCATTAGCCAAAGTTGCCTACTTTGGGGTCACATGGGAATGACTAAAAAAAAAAAAAAACAAATCACACTTCTATTTAAAGATTTTTTTTTTTCTGAGCCATCAAGATGGCTTGGCGAGTAGAGAGGCAAAGTGCGTGTGTGGGGGCCCGTTCTCTCTCCATTTCTGTGAGTCTGGGTACTGAACTTGGTCATGCGACTTGACGACAAGCGCCTTTGCTCGCTGAGCTGTCTCACTGGCTCTCAGCTTTGTAACATTACACACATTTGCTTATTTATTCTCTCTGTGTGTATGTGTCTATGAGAGAGAGGAGGGAGAAAGAGAGGGAGAGAGAGAGAAAGAGAGAGGACAACTTGTGGGGTTGGAGGAGCTGGCTCTCTCTTCCCACTAAATGAGTCCCAAGAATTGGACCTGGGTCATGAGACTTCCCATCAGAGGCCTTTGCCGGCTAGGCTATCTTGCCAGCCCAGCTTTTTATTTTTGGATGTTTGTGGGCTCATTGGGAATTGCAAAACACAACAGGGTATAGAGTTCCCCCAAACTCTCCCTCCTACAGCTCCCTGTAATAATCCAGTTCAGTATCAGAAGGGACCTTAGACAACCCTGCTCACCAGGGGACAGAACGAAACCAGTCTGTAACAGCAAATTCGGGTGGTATTACTTAGCAAGCCTAGGTTGGAGGCAGGAAGATTCAACCACTAGGTTAATTAGACCTACTTATGTGTAAGTGTGCTTGCATGAATGTGTGTGTTCAAGTATGTGTGTGTGTGTGTGGGGGGGGGTAAGCAAGCAAGCAATCTACCACTAAGCTCCATTCCCAGTCCTTAGAACTACTTTGTTAACTTTTTTTTTCCTTGGCTTTTCAAGACAGGTTTTCTCTGTGTAGCTTTGGCCGTCCTGGAACTTGCTCTGTAAACCAGGCTGGCCTCGAACTCTCAGAGATCCATCCACCTGCTTCTGCCTCCAGAGTACTAGGATTAAAGGTGTGCACCACCACCGCCTGCCTGACCTTTGTTAACTATTTTGATGGCGGTTTTCTCATGGTTTTGAGTTTGTCGTGTGTGTGTGTGTGTGTGTGTGTGTGTGTGTGTGTCTACATTTCATATGGGTGCATGTACAAGCGTGTGGAGTAAGAGCTCCGAACCCAAATCCTCCCCAACCGCATCTCACCTAAGGAGCCCGTGTGTTTCAGAACCCAGCAGTCAGGCCATCTGCCTTCCCTCCTCCTCCCCAGTGTTCCCACCAAAGGCCACAGTGGTTTGGCATGTATGGGGAAGCCAGTGTCAGGCCAACGCTACATTAGCCATGGCTCAGGCCTCGGGCTCTCCCTCGAAGCAAGCCCCTACCTCTCATGAGGATGTCCTCAGTCAGCGAGAGACCGTAGGACTCACAGAGTTCCCAGCACTGCAGGTAGACCAGGAAGTTATTCATGCGGGTCATATTAATCAGCTCCTCCATCTCCCCAGAAATGGTGGTCGGTAGGCAGTGATCATCAAAGGACTTTGTCCCAGAACGAACCAGGCGGCATCTCTCCACGTATTGGATAGAGGGGAGACAAAGCTGCAGGAGAAGAGAGGATGTCTCTGTGACCTTCAACCTGGCTGCAAGGCAGCAGCACCTTCACTCCCTCCGTCTGAGAGACCCCCCATCCCCCGCGAGGCTGCAGCTCAGGTTCAACGGCAGCAGCTTAAAGGTCAAGGTTACCCCTCTGAGGTAACCCCCCCGAGGGGCTCTGAGCACTTGGCACCAGAGTCCTGGGAATACCGCCTCATACCGGATGTGCCCACGTGGCTGTAATAGCTGTAAAAAAGGCACAGTAGCAGTAGAGCCCCAGAAGTGTCCTGTTGAAAAATAGCCTGAGTCTCTGGGGTCTCTGAATAGGTCTAGCCACTTGTGTGTGTGTGTAATCCAGAGGTAGAAGCCACCTCGCAGTGCGGAGGGGCTGAGAAGTGTTACCCACTGGCTGCCTTTTCCTTCTCTTTTGCTTGTTTTTTTAAGACAGATTCTCAATATGTGGCTCTAGCTGGCCTGGAACTCACTGTGTAGACCACGCTGGCCTCAAACTCACAAAGATTTGCCTGCCTCTGCCTCCCCAGTACTGGGATTAAAGGCGTGTATCTCATTTGCATTTTGTTTTTTTTTTGAGACAGGGTCCTTCTATGTAGTCCAGGCTGGTCTCAAACTCATAATCCTTTGACTGGACTTCCTGGGTGCTGGGATTATAGGGGTGTTTCATTACACCCAGCTGCATACTGCACAGATGACAGACAAGGGCTGAGGGGAGGTGAGACCCTCACCTCAGTCAGTGCCAAGTCTTGAACCCTGGCCTGCCCAGCCCCTAAGCCTGTGCAAAAGAGGTACCTTGTTTTGCCTCCGCCTCTCTCGGTACCGCTTGCCCACATCCTCCATGTCCTCATCTGTCATGGGCCGCCCCTCCATCTTTGTATCAACCTCAGGTACCTTTAGCAGGTCCATCTTGGGGGGCTGTGGGGCTGTGACAGCCTGCTGCTTTGGGGGGTAACGCTTCAGGAATGCTCTCTTCCTAGTCAAACTGAAATCTAGAATTGGAAGGAAAGATGGAAGGACTAAGAGGGTGTCCAGCGGTGGAATTCAACCTAATGCCATCGAGCAGATGCCAGCAAGCTCTTCTGCCCCTTTCCCATATGTCCAGCTGGTGCCCATCTGAATTGCACTGTGAATTTGTCCCCTCCACTGCTATGAAGTCCCCCATCTGCCTACCCCACACCCCTTCCTGCTCCTTTCTCACTCATTCTTGCCACCTTGTTCCTACCAAGCGGCAAACCCTTATATCATGGTAACCAGGCATGGTGGCACACGCCTTTAATCTCAGCACTGGGGAGGCAGAGGCAGGCAGATCTCTGTGAGTTTAATGCCAGCCTGGTCTACAAAGTGAATTCTAGGACAGCTAAGACTGTAACACAGGGAAAATAATATGTCTCCAAAAACAAAAGCAACAACAACAACAAAAATGTATCCCGGCATTTGGGAGGCAGAGGCAGGCAGATCTCTGTGAGTTCCAGGCCAGTCAGAGCTGTGTAGAGAGACTGTGTCACAAAATGAGCAAAAAGATACAGGCATGTGTTGTAAATTCATGGCCCACATATTAGAGAGTCCTTTCTCGTTTGCCTCTTGCTGCTTTTGGGCAGATGTAGCCCACAAGCACGTGAGGGTGAACGGAACGATCACAGCATCCCTGCTTACAACATCCGTGATGACAGAAAGCCCACACCAGCTAACTCCAAATGTCTTCGTTCAGTTTCCAAGCAAGACATTTTAGTTAACCTTTCCTTTTTTGTTCCTTTACTTTCTCAGATAAGGTCTCCTGGATCACACACTAACCTCAACCGCTCTACATAGCCAAGGATGACCTTGAACTTCTGATTCTCCCACTCTACCCGACTGCTAGAATTGTGGATGTGTGCCACCATGCTTGGTGTATGCAGTGCTGGGGATGACATCCAGGGCTTTGAACATGCTAGACAAGCACTCTGCCAACTGCCCTGCATTCCCAATCCTGTTTTGTTCTAAATCAATCATTCATGTCCCTCTAAGGACAGAGGCTGGGCCCTTGAGAAAATGTCTGCTTCCTCGTTGACAAAGCTTGGCAAACCTATGGCAAGCCAGAGGAGGAGGTGCGCCTGAGGATGTAAATGCTGGGGAGAGCCAGCCTGACTCTGAGGGCAGAGAGGACACGCACACTCCCTGGCAGTGGGCATGGTACTTTTCTGCTGGGACAGTGACCACTGCTTGTAGGTGCTGGCCAGGGCATCGGTGGTGATGGCGTTCTGCTTCCCGAGAGAGCCGAGGTAGATGACGATGTCCTCCAGCTCCTGGTTCTTCAGAGGAACTCCGATCTGAGGAGGCACAAGAGCGTACTGAGGCCCACCTCACCCTTACCGACAGGCTTGGCCAACCGGCTCAACCTCCAACTCCTTGCTGCCACAGGAGTGCAGAACCTTGCCAGGTTCCTCAAGTGTACTCTGCAATTTATCACGTCCTGGTTTTGCCCACGCAGCTCCCTCCTTCTGCCTCAAAAACTCCTATCCTTCCTTTAACACCCAGGCCAGATAGGCCTCCATTTTTACAAAGTCTTTTTCAGTTGATTAACAAACTAGATAGGGTAAAAGTCATACACCCATCTTTCTCCATGGGGAACAAGTATGCCTGCCCCGACCGAAGTATCAGAGACCTATACATCTTTTTCTTTTGAGGATGTGATGGCTATTCTTGTTGTCAACTTGACTACATCTGGAATTAACTTGAGTTTCCCCCAAGTGGCTGGGTACACCTGTGAGGGATTTTTACTAATTGAATCATTTGATGTGGGAGGATACACAACCAATCCAGACCTTTTGAGGTAAGAAGATCCACCTTTAATCTGGGCCACACCTTCCCTGACAGCCTATATAAAGGACGTGGAAGAAGGAAGCTTGCTCTCTCTCTGCCTGCTTTCCCTTGTTCTCACTGGCAGGTCCATTCCTTTTTTTAAAAATTAATTAATTAATTTATTTATTTATTATGTATACAATATTCTGTCTGTATGCCTGAAGGCCAGAAGAGGGTGCCAGACCTCTTTACAGATGGTTGTGAGCCACCATGTGGTTGCTGGGAATTGAACTCAGGACCTTTGGAAGAGCAGGCAATGCTCTTAACCACTGAGCCATCTCTCCAGCCCCTGGCAGGTCCATTCCTTCACTGACTTTAGAGGCTACTTCTTTCTTTGGAATTCTGGCATATACTGAAGACCAGCTGAGATGCCCAGCCTTGCAGACTGAACAACCACTGGATTCTTGGACCTAATCCACTGTTGGAATAGCTGGACTATAACCTGTAAGCTGCTCTAATAGATACCGTACATACGTATATATTGCTCAGTTCTGTTTCTCTAGAGAACCCTGACTAATAGAAAGGACAATAGACAACCCTGGAGGTATGCAGTGCCTACCAGAAACACCAAAGGTTCAGAAAGAAAAGTTTGAAAGGAAACATAATTGTGAGTATAATTTGTCTTGTTATTTTCTTTAGACAATAGCTAGTCATTGTTGAACTGTCCTTGGTCCAGCTCAGAACTGTCCTAGTGCTAAGGGACTTCATCTTTAAACATTTTTAAAAGATTAGCCAGGTGTGATGGCTCATACATTTAATCCCAGCATATGGGAGACAGAGACAGGAAGATCTCTTGTGAGTTCAAGGCCAGCCTGGGCTACAGTGAGTTCCAGAACAGCCAGGGCTACACAGAGAAACCCTGTCTTGAAAAAAAAAATATTTATTTTATGTATAGAGTGTTTTGCCTGTATGGATGTAAGTGCACCATATGCATGCCCAGTGTCCAAAGAGGTTCAACAAGGGTATCAGATACCTGGAACTGGAGTTACAGGGGATTGTGAGCTGTTGTGTGGGTGTTGGAAACCAAACCTCAGTCCTTTGAAAGAGCAGTAAATGGTCTTAACTGCTAAGCCATCTCTCCCAGCCCAGGATTTAATATTATACTGATTTTTTTTTGTTTTGGTAGTTGAAGACATTTACTTTTAAAAAAATGTTTTGGATGATAATTATATTTCATAAAAATGTTTGAACAGGGGGCTGGAGAGATGGCTCAGTGGTTAAGAGCATTGCCTGCTCTTCCAAAGGTCCTGAGTTCAATTCCCAGCAACCACATGGTGGCTCACAACCATCTGTAAAGAGGTCTGGCACCCTCTTCTGGCCTTCAGGCATACAGACAGAATATTGTATACATAATAAATAAATAAATAAATAAATATTAAAAAAATGTTTGAACATTGGTTAATTGAAACAGTAAGTCAGGATATATTGTTTAGTAGTAGCAAGCTTGCTAGGATATGCAAGGTGCTGAGTTCACGCCCCAGCTGGAGAGACCAAAGAAGGCCTAGAGAAATAGCTCAGCAGGTAAGAATGTGTGCTGCTCTTGCAGAGGACTTGGGTTTGGCTCCTAACACCCACATCTGGCTGGCTGTTCACAGACATCTGTAACTTCAGCTCCAAGGACCTGATGCCCTCTTTTGGCTCCTGCAGGCTCCAACACACATGTGCACATGTTCTCACACAGATGCACACATACACATAATCAAAAATAAGAAAAAAATGGGATCTGGCCAGTGGTAGCAAACACTTTTAATACCGGTACTTGGGAGGCAGAGGCAGACGAATCTCTGTGAGTTAGAAGAGGCCAGCCTGGTCTACAGAGTGAATTCCAGGACAGCCAGGGCTGTTACACAGAAAAACCCCAAACAAGCAAACAAATAAATAAATGAATAAAATTTAAAAGAGGGCAGGAGAGTTGGCAGTAGTTAAGAGGGCTCACTGCTCTTGCAGAGGACCTCAGTTCCGTTCCTAGCTCCTATGTGGTGGCTCACAACCATCTGTAACTCCAGTTCTAGGGGATCTGATGCCCTCTTCTGGCCTCTGAGGTTACTGCATCCATATGGTGTGAATTAGGCAGAAGTTCATAGGTAGGAAATACATCTGAATAAATCAATTAAAAAAGATATAGGTGCTGGGTTGTGGTGGTGCATGCCTTTAATCCCAGCACTCAGAAGGCAGAGGCAGGTGGATCTCTCTGTGAGTTCAAGGCCAGCCTGGTCTACAGAGTGAGTTCTGGGACAGTCTCCAAGGCTACAGAGAAACCCTGTCTCAAAAACAAACAAACAAAAATAATAAAAAATAAAATGTAACAATGTCTGCTTTTTAAGGTCATTGATGTGAGCCACAGTATTATACAGTAAATGTACAGCTGACAGATTCACCGACAAACCCGCAAGTGTACCACTTATGGGGAACCCGATTTGCAGAGCTTCGGGAACACCTGTCTTTTGGATAGTCACTGTCTGTAAAAATCTTGTGAAAGCATAACATTTCTCCCTTCCATAGTGGGATTCATCCCAAAATATCCCAGCAGTATTTAAATCATTCTTTAAACTGGACTTTATTGTATTTCCTGTATTGGCAATTGTATACCTTACCCCACACTGTGGGGTCCTGGCGTGAAAGCATTCACTCAGCCAAACCTTTGTTTGTAGCCAAATCTACATAAAGCTGGTCCCCACAATTATCCTTATTGACAGGACTCACTGACAAGAAAGGAGCCCTGAGCAGAGAGACAGTATGTCTGCTCTTACTGATAAACAGGTCTGAGTGGCCCTAAATTCTCTGGCAGCCAACTCAGGAGAGTATCGCCTACTGGTCTCTGCTCCCCCTTAACACTCTATTAATATTCTGTACTTATTCAGCTTTCATTTGACATAAAGCCTTTTTTTTTAAAGATTTATTTATTTATTTATTTATTATGTATACAGTGTTCTGCCTGCATGTGTACCTGCACTCTCCAGAAGAGGGCAGCAGATCTCACTACAGATGGCTGCGAGCCTCCATGTGGTTGCTGGGAATTGAACTCAGGACCTCTGGAAGAACAGTCAGTGAGAGCTCTTAACCTCTGAGCCATTGCTCCAGCCCCCCTGACATAGGGTCTTAGTCTAGGAAATTAAGTGTTTGTACTTTTACCCCTAAAATATACAGGAAAAAAGTTTGGGTCGCTAACCAGCCCCAGAGGAAAAATTCCTTCTCACCTGGGTGCCAGTGGATACAGCACCCCAGGGCTAAACTCCATCTTTATCCTCCTGGTATCTGCCGGGGAGCTTCACAACCACGCCCCTCCTGAGACATAAGGTGCCTACCTTGTCAGTCTTTTATCCATCCTGTTACCTCTAACAGGATGCGTGCTTGGTATCATTGTTATTTACCAGAAAATGGCTAACTGTCTATGTGGACATAAAAACTGGAAACCCTGTGGAATGGGAAGCACATCGAGGAGGAACATGGAAAGGGAAACATCAAGAGAGCATCGGAGAGAGCATAACAAGAATACGTGGGACATGCTAAAAAGACCTCCGTGGGCTAGTTTATTCTACTTCCACTCAGATCCTATTAGTCAGCTTTCACCGCTACAGTGATCCTTCTGAGTCCTTAGAGGCTTAGGGGGTTAACTCCCCAGCATAAACGTCAACAGCACATCTTGATTTGAAGATACACATTTAATTCATCTAAGCTGGCAAGCTTTTTCTAGAGGAATCTAGACACGTTTTAGGCTTTGTGAGTCACAGGGCCTCTGAAAGTATCCATAGCTGTGCATAGATGAATGAGGGTGACTGTGTTCAATAAAAGTGTATTTTTGTTTTTCCCAAAGAGGCAGGCTGGCGTTAACGCACGGGCCCGGACCCTGCATTACACTAACAGAACTTTCAAAGATGACAGAAATTTCTACCCTAACTGGTCCAGTCAAGGAGCCACTTACCACATATGGCAGGATGGTTAATATTGAATGTCAGTATGACAGGATGTGGGATTGTCTAGGAGACAAACCTTCAGGCACACTTGTGAAGGGTTATTTAGATTAAGGTAGCCTTGGGGCATACCCGTGGGGTATTGTCTTGATTAGCTTAATTAAAGTGGAAACACACACCCTGGAGAGGGAAGCATCAGAAGAGGGTCCTAGAGTTACAAGTGGTTGTGGGCCCCCTGATGTGGGTGTTGGGAATTGCGCTCCACTGAGCCTTCTCTCTATCACCAGGTACGGTACTGGCTTTTGCTTGTCACTAGTGGTGCCATGACAGGGCCATGTACATGCTGAACACAGGCTCTACCACTGAGCTGCACCCCGGAGCGTCACAGAGGGTTTTGTTGTTTGTCTTCTGTGTGCTTGTGTGTATATTTGTGCGCCACGTGCATGCAGTTCACGTAGAAGTCAGAAGAGGGCATCAGATCCTCAGGCAGTGGGGTTAAGGTGATTGGGAGCTGCTATGTGGGTGCTGGAAATGGAACCCTGGTCCTCCACAAGAGCCATCTCTCCCGTTAGCCTGGTGCAGAGGTGGTTTTAAGGCTGTAATCTGACTGTCGTTGTGCCGTGTTTCCCAGTGTGGCTCTGCAAGTATAAGGCTGGTCGTGTGGAGCCCTGTGTTTGCCCCTCAGGACCCTAGAGCCTCACGGAGGGAGGACACAGCTGAGAAGTTCATACTTACTGCCTTTAGAGCCATGATAAATTCCTCCCTCGAGATGTGCTGGTTCTCACCCCGCTCCACCTTGCTAAATACCTCCAGGATCTTGATCTTTCGGGTCTTCAGGTAGGCGTACAAGTCCGCCAGGATAGAGGGCTTGGGCAGTCGCAGCTGGGGTATAGGTTGATGAATAGGTTTGGGAACTTTGCCCTGAAAGAGGGAATAGCGAGGCAGATAATGGGACTGCTTAGATGTACATATTCCTAGCCCTCTAGTTAAACTTTTTTTTTTTTTTTGATTTTTCGAGACAGCGTTTCTCCGTAGCTTTTGGTTCCTGTCCTGGAACTAGCTCCTGTAGATCAGGCTGGCCTCGAACTCACAGAGATCCACCTGCCTCTGCCTCCCGAGTGCTGGGATTAAAGGCGTGCGCCACCACCGCCTGGCCCTCTAGTTAAACTTTAATCTCACTTCACTGAGACTGAAGGGGAGGATGTGTTATGTCTTTGTCCTTGTTTTCAGTGTGGCTACATTGAATAAATCTCCTTTATCATGTTCTTTATCATTATGATGTTCTTTTTTTAAATATTTGTTTATTATGTATACAATAATATTCTGTCTGTATGTTTGCAGGTCAGAAGAGGGCACCAGACCTCATTCCAGATGGTTGTGAGCCACCATGTGGTTGCCGGGAATTGAACTCAGGACCTTTGGAAGAGCAGGCAGTGCTCTTAACCACTGAGCCATCTCTCCAGCCCTCCTCATTATGATGTTCTTTATCATTAATCAGGCTGCTTTAATTGACCTATTGAGGATGGGCGACTGAACCTCGCCTCTCAGGGTACAAGTGACTCTGAGTGATTTAATAAATACAGTTTCTGGGCTGGAGAGATGGCTCAGCGGTTAAGAGCACTGCCTGCTCTTCCAAAGGTCCTGAGTTCAATTCCCAGCAACCACATGGTGGCTCACAACCATCTGTAATGAGGTCTGGTGCCCTCTTCTGGCCTGCAGGCATACAAGCAGACAGAATACTGTATAAATAATAAATAAATATTTAAAAAAAATAAATACAGTTTCTGTGTGGTTATTATTTCAGCCAGTGGCTAGGAAGGACAAGGGACCCTTCCTCCTACAGGTAATGACGTCAACAAGGTGGCCCTCTTCACCCTCACCTCAGTTGTGTCCTCAAACTAGCCCACAAGGACTGGTTAGTACGGCCTCTCCAGCAGACAGGTCAAGACTGACTGCTAATGTGCCCTAGCTGGGGTGCTTATAAAACCCTTCATGTGTTCTCAGACAGAATCCTTTTCCCATCCCATGGTGCAGGCAGTCCTCAGCAGCTCATTCTGACACGGTGCAATGTCAAGACCAGGGCCTAAGGCACTACGCCTCCCTGGCTCTCTATTCCGGAAGGCTCACTCTGGGGGCAGCCAGCCTTCTTATTGTGAGGGCTTGTCTGCAGCCTCTGGGAGGTCCCTAAGGGAGGCAGTGAAGCCTCTGCACAATAGCCCTTTGAACAAGCTTAGAAGGCAGTTCGTCTTCCTGGACTGGTCAAGTCTGAAGCTGTCTTCAGGTCCACAGTCTCATGATATAGAGACAAAGCCTCCCAGCTCGATTGCACTGAGATTCCAGAGTGACAGACATAGCTGTCTGCAATAATAGTATTTCTTTAAATCCCACTGGGGTATTGGCTGTGCAGCGACAGGGAACTCATACACCATCCTTTGGGGACTTGCTTTTGCTCCTTTGAAGAAAAGGGGCAAAGCACCTCGTCCTGTCTAATAAAAGGAAGCAAAATGACAACAGACTCCCAAAGCCTCAGCATCTTCTGGCCATCGGGGCTTCTCACCTTGGGTCTCCTGATTGAAATGAAGGTATCTTCGGAGGCTTTTTGCTCATGGCGGATCATGAGCAGAACCTTGGCCTCTGACGGTGTGATGCTGGGCTTATTCTGCAGCCATGTCTTGACATCACCAAACGACTCCAGCTGCCTCCGGAGCCTTGCCCTCTGGCTCAACCAGACCTTTCTGTCCACAGGTGGCTCTTGGATGTCTTCAATATCCAGAGCTTTGAAGCTAGGTATAGGTGGAGGGGGAGCTTGAGGAGGCCTTGCGGCATGGGCTGGCACCTGGTCCTTGGTCCCAGGCACAATGATGATCCGCCTGCGGCTCTGTGGCAGGTGGAAGTCTTTCTCTTTCAACTGCCTGAAGCAGTGGGCAATGACCAGCTCAGGATTGAAGACAGCATGGCGGCTAGTTTCATAGATGTCCTCATCTATGGAGGTGTAAGACGGGAAGGCCCCTTGGGAGAAGAGGGCTGCAAGTGAGTTCCTTTTAGGAAGAGGACTAACAGGAGCCAGGGAAAGGGAAACTGTGGTAGGTGCTGGCTGTGTAACAGGGTGTCTGGTCCCTGCCTGGCTCTATCACTGCGTCACTATGGTGAAGAAAACAGTGTGTTAGCTAATGTGACCTGCATGCCAACAGATGGAACAAAGACTTCTCACTGTCTCCGACTCTTACTATACTCGGCTTGAGCTCAGAAGACTTGGTCTGACTAGCCTAGGCACCACAGTGCCCTCTGGTGGGAGCAAAAGATCTAATTTAGAGAGCTTGGGTCTAAGTGCAGCTGGCCGGCTTTCTGCTCAATCTGTGGCTCACTTTCTTCTGTAAGATGGGGATAATGGATACCTAATTTATTAGGCGATGGAGGTGTTTATTAGAGTTGATTTGTACATAAGTGTGCTGCTATCTATGTATCTATTATGCACACATACATACACACATCTTTGTTCACTACATACAAGTTCTCGTCTTCGTGGTGCTAAGACTTGAACCCAGGGCCTAGTGCTTGCTGAAGAAGTGCTGTGCCACTGCTCCACATCCCTAAACCCCTAACTTGTAATGTCATGGCAGGTGGGTAGGTGAGATTGCTCAGTGGATAAAGGCGCTGGTTGCCAAGTTGGACAGCCTGTGTTCAATCCCTGGAACCCACATGGTAGAAGAACACAGACTCCCACAAATTGTCCTTTGACCACACCTGCACCATCGCCCAAGCCGTCCTATGCCTGTTGAAATAAATAAGTGTGAAAAAAAAAATTAGGGAGTTGGAGAGATGGCTCAGTGGTTAAAAGCACTGGCCGCTCTTCCAGAGGATCAGGTTCAGTTCCCAGCACCTACATGGTAGCACACAACCATCTGCAACTGGAGTCCCAGTTCCAGAGGGTCTGTCACCCTTTTTTGGCCCCTAAGAGCACTGCACACACACTGTTCTCTGACACACATGCAGGCAAAACACCCATATGCATAAAAGCTATAGCAGCCCCTCTGCTATGGTTAATGGAGACAGTTACATCCTGGGGCCGAGTCATCTTCTTTCCAAGAACAGACTGTCAGAACTGTCTCACGAACCTGCCTTCTGCCGTATGCTTTTCTAGAACCTGGCCTGTGGGGAAGTCTGTGGTGTGTTTTCTTGGTTGATGATTGACATGGGAGGGCCCCAGTTCACTGTGGGTGGTGCTATCTCTGGGCTGGTGGTCCTGGGTTCTATAAGAAAGCAGGCTGAGCAAGCTGTAAGGAGCAAGACAGTAAGCAGCACTCCTCCATGGCCTCTGCATCAGCTCCTGCCCTGACTTCCCGGAGTGATGATCTATAAGCTATAACTTCTCAAGTTGCTCTTGGTCATGATGTTTAACCATGGCAATAGAACAGTAATCAAGACACCATTGCAAGCACTCAGAGCTACACACTGGTGGCCCTCACACTGTTGGACACTCTACTTAGGAGCCTGGCCTCTCCAGCTTGCAGTGCCTCCCCACATTTCCTCTCAGCTCAGTTCATTGAATAACTGCTTGAGGGGGGCCTTCCTGTTTGAGAATCCTGGTGCAAACGCCTTGCTGTTTTTCTAGTAAACAGCTCCACAAAGACCATGACCTTGTCCATTGTCTGCACTGTTCTCTGCTGGAGTCTTGGCTCCACCACAGGCTTACCTGTAAAGGGAACTTAGTAAACAGTTCCTGGATGACAGATGTAGACATGGGTTTGGTGCTATGACTGGCCACATTTTTCAGGTAGAGATACTAAAGCCCACAGAGACCCCAAGTCCCAGGGTTGATTACTAACAGAGCTCAATTAGCCTGACAGACAAGTTCTTTTGTTTCAGGATTTCTTTTCAATTTATGGGTATGAATGTTTTGTGTGAACATATATATGTGTTCCGCAGGCGTGCAGGGCCAACAGAGGCCAGAAGAAGGTGTTGAGATCCCTGGAACTGGAGTTATAACTGGTTGTGAACCTCCATGTGGGTGTTGGGAACTGAACTCGGGGTCCTCTGCAGGAGCAAGTGCTCTTAACCACTGCACCGTCTCTCAGGCCCCAGAGTCAAGCTCGTAGCTAGTTCCTGTTACCCAGCTGTCACTTGATCCTCATATCTCAAGACTTTCATTTCTAAATGGTTTATGCCACCCCCATCCCCCACAACCCGGTGCTAGGGATTGGATACAGAGCACTCTCACTGCCCCCTCGCCTGTATTTGTATCAGCAGATCTGACTGGCTCACGGCACAGGCAGCCCGGCTCACGGCACAGGCAGCCCAGCTCACCGCACAGGCAGCCCAGCTCACACGGCACAGGCAGCCCAGCTCACACGGCACAGGCAGCCCAGCTCACGGCACAGGCAGCCCAGCTCACACGGCACAGGCAGCCCAGCTCACACGGCACAGGCAGCCCAGCTCACACACGTGTGCCCCCACTCCTCCACCTCATTATCTCTCACTTGCTTTTCCCACTCCCTCGGGTTCCCTCCAGCCCCCACACTTAGTCTCACCACAGCATGGTGTGGGCCAGGGTCTCACCAGGTAGGCCAGGATGCCCCACTTTCCCAGATGCTGGGATGGCAGGCTTTCCTCACCAAGGCTGGCTTTCTAGTGTTCTTGGAGTTAACACCCCTCTTGCCATGGCCTAAAGCTTTCGCCCCTCTTCCCCACATTATCCCCTCATCTACACTGCTCCTTTCTGCTAAGCCATGTCTCCTTGCTCCTTGCCCGGCCCCTGGGTTCCATTTATCAAGCTGCTGTGTTCCCCAAAGGGCTTAGCGTTCCTTGAGGCTTCCCGCCCTGTGGTTCACAGTATGGGTGTGGTGGTTTAATTAAGGATGGCCCCCATAGGCTCGTGTATTTGAATACTCAGTCACCGGGGAATGGAACTGTTTGAAAGGACTGGGAGGTGTGGTCTTGTTGGAGGAACTGTGTCACTGGAGGTGGGCTTTGAGGTTTTTGTTTTGTTTTGAGAAAGGTGTGGCCCTGGCTGTCCTGGAGCTCTGTCAACCAGGCTGGCCTCAGACTCACAGAGATCCGCCTGCCTCTGCCTCCTGAGTGCTGGGATTAAAGGCGTGCGCCACCACTGCTGGGTGGCATTGAGATTTTAAAAGCCCACACTAGGTCCAGTCTCTCTGCTCGTCCATCAGGGTATGGCTCTCAGCTACTTTTCCAGCATCTTGGCTGCCAGCCGCCATGCGCCCTACCATGATGATAACGGCCTAAGCCTCTGAAACGGTTAGCCAGCCCCACTAAATGCTTTCTTTTCTAAGAGCTGCCTTACGAGCTGTGTCTCTCCTGCACTAGAACAGCCACTAAGAGGACAGGTTCCAGCCCAGACGCTCACTGCCCATTCTTAATGGCACTTCTTCCCAGTGTTCTTCTGGGCGGTGACCATCCACAGGAGGTGGTCCCTGCAGTGACAGGGTGAGGCTGCCATCTTGTCAAGATAGGGATGGGAAAGCACTGAGTTCCAGCTCCTGCCCAGGTCAAGTGTGCTCTCTGACGTCAATGGCTGTCACTGACTGACTTTGCTTCTGTTTGTACATTCCCAGGGACACAAAAAACTTCACCGTGGACCCTGAATGCTGGAAAAGACTCGGTTCGCTGACCCAAATGTGTTTTCCGGGAGCGCCTGCCTGAGGGTCCTAACTGGTCTCAGAAAACACACTCCTTCTTTAATGGCTTGCATCTCTCAGCTGCTGCCTCCCTCTCTGGCCACCATCCTAGGCTCCTGTTGTCCTGCTCACTCCGAAGCATCAACGCATTCCACTGGACAGCCACTTTCTCCCACTCACTCTGCACTGAGGACCCCCGTTCCAACACAGCCATGCATCTAGCTGCTCCGAAAACATCTCACTCCAATAGTTGACAGGGTCGTAGGTGACCCCTGTTCCAGTGCCATCTAACCAGGTCCCCCAGACACTCTGTATCTCTATGAAAAGTACCCTCACTTACCAAAGTCTGAGGGTGTCAAGCTGAATGTCACCCGACTGCACCTTTTCTCCTCGGCTTTCTGGGGCTCCCCTAGCCTGGCTCCTCTCTTTTGCTTTCCAGTGTATTTGACCAGGGTTTCTGCCAGACCCTGACTATGTGCCGGGGAAAGATGGCCAGGAGAATCAGCATTACTCATTGAAGCTTTAGACGGGTTGGAAGGAGGCTTGCTGAGGACTTGGGTTTTCAGGCCCACCTGCCTCACGTCTCTTCTCGTCTGTCTGTGTCCTCCACTTTTCAAATTGCAGCTCTTTGCCGAGAACTTTCCTGGGAACTGACAGCCAACTTCTCCAGGTCTCTTCTTCAATATAGGACGCATTGTTGCTCAACCCAGAAATATGCAGGATCCCAGGTACAAAAGCCCCGGCTCTGATTCCAAGCCAGGGGACTCGGCTGCTCCTCGTGCTAAGTCCGGGCATGGGAATCCTGGAAGAGTTAGTGACCTTCTCCAGAACTCCTGGCAACCCTTCTGGCAGAGCTGAGACGGCACAAGGAGGCTTTCAGCCTTTCCTAATGGCTCTGCTGCAGGGAGTCAGAGGGTTCCTGCAGATGGCGCTGTGGAGAAGGCTACAGGTTTAGCCATTTGGTGCATATCAGTTTCAAGTTTTGCAAAAGGTAATCCAAGTTGCTGAGTAAGCCCCGTTGTCATAACTACAGATGCTGTGAGCCGATTGGCTGAGCGCTTCCACGTGCTGGAAGCAGGCGGGGAGAAAACCCGGAAGCTGGGAATGTTAAAGACGACTTAGCCCCAGGTTGGTGCCTTGTGTGAGGAATCACACCTATACCCCATTCTTCCTGAGGCTCCTGAATCTGAAGTGAAAATTCCCCCATTTTCCTGTTTTCTGACAGATTGCCCCATCTTTAGGCTTCATTTTTCACATTTAAAAAGAACGCTACACTCCCACAGTCCTGGAGGGCTGAGAACCCTAACCAGTCAAGGTCTAATGAGAGACTATTTGGTATTACAACTGGGTGCTATGGTCGGGAACCACAGTTATGGCGGCACACGCCTATATCTCAACGCTCAGAAGCAGGCAGGAGGGTAGACAAAAGTTTGAGGCTAGTTTGTGTTACATGACGAGTTCCAGGCCAGCCAGAGGTACACAGTGAGAACCTACCTTTAAAAATCAAAGCTGGGCAGTGGTGGCACACACCTTTAATTCTAGCAGAATTAATTCAGGAGGGGCTAGTGGGTCTCTGTGAATTCGAGGACAGCCTGGGCTACAAGAGCTAGTTCCAGGATAGGCTCCAAAGCTATAGAGAAACCTTGTCTCAAAAAATCAAAATAAATAAATAATAATGATAAAAAGTCAAAACCAGAAACAGAGACTGGGAACCAGTCCTAATAATAAATCTCTGAAATGTCCACCCGCGGGTGAAATACGGAGTGTGCATTTAAAGACCAGGAAGTTCTGACACGCGCTGCATGGAGGGCTCCTGGTAATGAAAGGAGCCAGACTTAAGAGGCCTCATCCTGCAGGTTCTATTTATATATGGAATGGCCAGAATAGGCAAGTCTCCAGACAGTCAGCTCCTGGTGACCAGGGATGAGTGGGGAGAAAGGATTAGCTGTTAACTACAATGGGGTTTCCTTTTGGGTGATGGGAAGGTTCTGGGATTAGCTAGTGACAGCAATTGTATAGCACCGCAGATGTTCTAAAAACAAAACAAAACCCACTTACCTGAACACTTACAATTTTATTTTGGCCAAGTATGAGACACACAGGAGGGTCTCTGTGAGTTGGAGGCCAGTCTGGTCTACACGGAAAGATCATATCAAATAACAAAATTATTTTGCACTGTTGGGCACTGAGCCCTAGGCCTTGTGCAAAACTCCAGGGTAACACAACTGTTGAATTACATCTCTGACCCTAAGTAATTTCTTATTTATTTATTTATTATTTATTATGTATACAATATTCTGTCTGTGTGTCTGCCTGCAGGCCAGAAGAGGGCATCAGATCTCATTTCAGATGGCTGTGAGCCACCATGTGGTATTTCATGTTGTATAAGCATCTGAGTAGTCGGAATAATGTCGTGGCATGCCTGATAGTTGCTGGGAATTGAACTCAGGACCTTTGGAAGAGCAGGCAATGCTCTTAACCGCTGAGCCATCTCTCCAGCCCCCCTAAGTCATTTCTAAACTTTATGCTAAAAAACAAAGACCAATATTTGAACAAAGTTCTCTGTGCTGGGGCCCACCTTCACCAGATGTAACATCTTCCTAACCCTCTACAACTGAGGCACTCACATCATTTAGACTTACAAAGCCACAAGAACAAGGCAGCAGGGTTTCTGAGATATGAGGAAAGGCATGGAAGCCCGGTGATCTTATCTGCTGAAAGGGGAGAGGCAGGCCTGGAACCCTAGCAACCAACCAGGCAGAGCTCCCCTCCAACGAGACCAGGGAGGGGGCCTCTAAATGGCCTTGCCCTGCAGCCTTCCTTCCCAGCTGACTTCTGGGAATTTTGCTCTTCCACCCAACCTGAGCTGTGGCCTAGGAATGTCAAGGTTTCTCCATACTCTGAGCTGCTTGTGCTGGGTGTCCATCCTCACACTTAGCCCTTCTCTTCTCTTTCAGTGCTGTCTGCACCACTCTTTCATCCGGGGAGGTCTCCACAGAGCCTTTTCATCTTTTTGCCTCTCTCTCCCCAGCACAGGACTCTGCACTTGTCTGTGCTGCTGTGATGGGTTATTGTGAAGCGGAAGGGGAGGTGTGGCCAGCTTTCCTGTTCTTCAGTCAAACTGCATCTCTCTTTACACTTTGTGTCATTATTTTCATGTATGTATGCACACTGCCTGTGTACCCGGCGCCAGAGGGCAACAGATCCCCTCCTTCCTGTGCTCCTGTGTGAGGATGCTGGGAACTGAACCTGACTACTGCCATGGCTGAGTCAGCGCTCCAGCCCCAGCATCCCTAGTAACAGCTGCCGCTTGTTCACCAGAGGGGAAAAATCAACTAGTCTGCATCATAGCACATCTGCCTGGGCACATGCTAGCTTGCGACAAACAGCTTCTGACAGCTGGTTTACTTTGCCTTCATCAGATTCAATTTTCAAGCTAAACCTTAGAATGGCAATTGGCAATTAAGAGTTAATAATTTAGGACTTCATTTGGTGATTTCTAAGGCAAATGTTTCGAGGTTAGAACCACGATACTACACCATCTGTTATGGAAATGGCATTAAACATAAAAAGGTCCCATTCTTAACTGGGAGAGGAGATGAAGTTTTACAAAAGACCAGGGTTAAGGGAATGAGTTGCAATGGAGCCACAAGCATACAGATGTTTACATCCTCACAGGGATGCTAAGGTCAAATCCAAAGTTCCTAAGAGCCAGTGTGAGTGGTCAAGAACACATGATGCCCAAGGGACCTTTTTAATAAAAATATTTTTATTAATTGCCTAATATACAATATACTGTGAAACCTATTTGTACATCAGGTCTGAAGAATTCCATTAAACAGGCATGGGAGCCGGGTGGTGGGGGCGCACACCTTTAATCCCAGCACTTGGGAGGCAGTGGCAGGCGGATCTCTGTGAGTTCGAGGCCAGCCAGGTCTGCAAGAGCTAAATCCAGGACAGGCTCCAAAGCTACAGAGAAACCCTGTCTCAGAAAAAAACAAAACAAGCCGGGTGGTGGTGGCGCATGCCTTTACTCGGGAGGCAGAGGCAGGCGGATCTCTGTGAGTTCGAGACCAGCCTGGTCTACAAGAGCTAGTTCCAGGACAGGCTCCAAAACCACAGAGAAACCCTGTCTCGAAAAACCAAAAAAAAAAAAAAAAAAAAAAAAAAAGAAAAGACAAAACAAAACAAAACCAGGGATGGAATGTGGTGGTGCACATCTTTAATCCCAGCACTTGGGAGAAGCAGGTGGATCTCTGTGTGCCTAAGGCCAGTCTGGTCTACAGAGCTGGTTTTCAGGACAGCCGAGGCTACCCAAAGAAACCCTTTCTCAAAAAGCAAACAACCCCCCCCCAAAAAAAAAACCTCAAAGAATTCCATTAAAGAGGACCACCAGCCACTTATCCAAACATAGTTTTATTTAGTCTAACAACTTTAGTTTGTATTTTTCTTATACAGGGTTTGGATGTACAGCCAAAGCTGCTATCACACGTAAGCCAGGCTGCCTTGAATTCAGTGGTCCTCCTGCCTCAGCATTACAAGTGCTAGGAATATATATGTGTGTGTGTGCATACATATACATATTCTTACTGTGTGTGCCACTGGTGGCTTTTTAGGTTTTGGTTTTTTTTGTTTTGTTTTGAGACAGGACTTCACCATATAGCCCAAGTTGTCCTGGAAACTACAAAGTAGACCAGGTTGACCTTGAACTTGATCATGACCCTCTCCAAACTCCCACAAGTTAGGATTATAGTAGTGTACCACCATGATTAGTATAGGTGAATCTCTGGTACTGAATATATCATAACATAATTTGTTAATGAAAAATGGGATGCAATATTATGCATTATGAGCGGATGTTTGCTGTGAGAGGGGAGAGGCATAATTTGATTTTCAAATTACATCTTAAAATAGTGTTTAATAATCAGGACTTAATTTTTCCGTTAGGTTTTCATGTATATGCACATACATGCCACACGTGCGAAGGTACCAATGAAGCTGGAAGAGGGCGTCAGATTTCTAGGAGCTGTTGTGAGCTGCCCAATGAGGGTGCTAAAAACTGAACTCTGGGTCCTCTGGAAGAGCAGCAAGCACACTAAGCTATTGAGCCATCTCTCTCCAGACTATTTCTTAAAAATTTTCTTATGTATGTGATATGTATATGTGAGTTCAAGTGAAGGTCAGAGGTCAACCCACAGGAGTTGTCCCAGGTATGGGACTCAGGTCATAAGGCTTAGCACAAGTGACTTTATTTAATGAACCACTTTATTACCCTGCCCTGTTTGTTTTTTTTCCTCTCTATGTAGTATAGGCTGGCCCTCAACTTTCCATCCTTCTGCCTTAGTCTCCTGAGTGCCAGGATTACAGTGGGTACCACTATGTGTTGGTCGATTTAGTTTTTATTTTCTAAGGTAAATGTGTCACTATTTAAACTATGACACTGTGATATCCATAAGAATGGCAGGTTCTTTCTTCATATGACAGTTGTATACCTTAATACCACTTTGTACAGGAAGAGAAAACATGTTCAGTCTTTCCTCAGCAGGAGTGCGGAAAATTGGCTCTCAGCACCAACGCACTGTACATCACTGGAAAAACAAAATGCACTTTTAGGGTCATTTCCCATCAGTTGCTTTTTCTTTTCTTTAAAAAGATTTATTTATTATGTATACAGTGTTCTGCCTTATGTGTGATT